AATTATGGAACCGTATTTATAAAGTTTGTTAATCAAGAAACCTACCACAAAATTGATACCTTCGAAGATCTGGAAAGATTTTGATGGATATTACCGATATTTCATTTTTTCGAAATGTATATGTATACTCTAGTAACACTTTATAATTGTTATGAACGCATTTTTCTTGATACGCATTACATTTATACACACAAAATGAATCATTTTCAAAACATGGCGGCTCTACGTGTGCAGATGAGCTGCACCCACTTGAATAGGTCACATGCATATTTTCTTCTAATTGTTCTAATCGAATATATAATGCATACAAATACTGGAAACATGAGATAGATGCCAAAAACATGAATAATTAGTCAGAAAAAAATTTATAAAATTGTATACCAAATATTGACAATTCAAACGGTCGACCATTTGGCGGGAATATGTGACGTCAAAGTACATGTCAACAAAGCGATCCAAAGCACAGAGAAGTAAACATAGTTGATTCTATATTGTATTACTTGATAATTTCAATAAATTGAAGTTGGAAAGTAGTGGAAAATCAGTTTTTAGTACTGCATAGTTCCAAAGTGCAACAATACAACGAAAACTGCTCTTCAAAAAGTTTTTTTTCTTGTGCCGAGGAATGCAAACATTCGATTGAAGTGGTGTAAAGCTATAAAAAAAGAAGAATTTAAGAACCCGAAACTGTCTGCAACGAGCTGACTATACTGTTGTGAAGATCACTTTGATGTAAGTATTTTTATATTTACATAGGTATATTTATATTTACTGTCATAGTCTAAAACACTAATAAACATATTTACTTCTCGAATATGAAACCTTTCTGACTGCTGTTATTCTTCATTTTCAGGTAGAAAAGGATACAGAGAACTTCATTAAGTACCAAATAATGAATAAACAACAAGGGGTACCTGTTACATAACGTCTACGTGAAGGTATTGTGCCCCACGAATTTCAGTGTCAGGAAGTAAATAGGCCAAAACCTGTAAGAGAGGCTGCTCTCAAAAGACAAAGACTTAGGTTGCTTCAAGATACTCTATCAGAAGCTGCTCCCCGAGAAGTAATGGAAGAAACTAATTTATGTATAGGCCCTGTGGATACAGCAGATAAAACAATCACCAGAGAAATAAATTATTGTGAAGCTGGTCCTAGTTCATCTTCACATGAGGTTTTCTCAACAGAAAATAAAAGCCTTGCTTGTGACAGAGCCGTTCAAGTTAACACAATGAAGCCAACGATAATGAAATAAAGAAGCATTATCACCGTTTTTAGTACCAGTTAAAAACACATCAACTTCACCTATTACAACCGCCCATATTGCCGGTATGAAAAGGAAGTTATTCCCAGATACAAAACCAACAGACGATTTATCTATTACATCGCAATCTTCATCAATCTCTAGCGAGTATGAACAATAAACTACTTCTTCCGAAGCGAGTTGGTCTCAAGATAACAAGGACAGACAATTTCAAAATGTAATGCATAGTGCAACATTGACCGCTGTGGAAAAAGAGCCTAAAATTATGTTAGTACTGCCTAAAGACAGTTACTATTTGATAAAACTATTAAGTTCCCACTACTGACATTTCAATAACTTCGAAGAAAATAAAGTTAAATGAATCATTTGACTTATTAGCTATATAATTTGGCTATGCACAGAGCACTATAAGTAGAATATTTTCGAAAACAGTGATTGTTCTAGCAGAAAAAATGAGGGAGTTAATTGTGTGGCCTAAACCATCTGACATAGTTGAAAATTTACCTATCGCTTTTAGAGCACGGTATTCTAAAGTTGTTTCAATTATAGATTGTTTAGAAATAGAAATTGAAAAACCGTCCAATAACTACCCCCCGAACTCACCTCTTTCTATACTGACAATAAATTGATAGACTTTTACTTCAAATTTTAAGAAGTACATGATATGTTTGTTTTTGAAACAGTTTCTAATATAAAAACAAATGGAATGGGATATGATTTACTGAATATAAAACTAATGAAAATGGGCTGTTGACATATAATTCCATATGTAACACATATCGTAAATTTTTGCCTGAATAATAATATTTTCCTCACGGTATGGAAGAAAGCATTTGTGAAAGTTGTTAAAAAAAAATCAATCAGAATACAAAGACCTACGCGCCATTAGTTTATTACCAACTTTGTCAAAAATTTTCGAAAGAGCTATTGAAGTTCAGTTGAAAGAACACGTTGACAATTTCTCTATACTTCCAATAACTCAATTCGGATTTCTTAAAGGCATAGTTGTACAACTGCTGTGTTGCATATAGTGGACGATATTATAAGAGCACGTATTGCAAAAAATAATACAATATTGGTACTTAATAATACAGTATTGGCACTTAATAATACAGTATTGGTACTTCTTGATTTTAGTAGAGCGTTCGATACTATTAACTTCGATTCAATGTTATTAATTCTTGGCTATATAGGACTCTCTGAAAATGCTATATCACTAATTAGATCGTATCTCACCAACCGTCAACAAAAGGTTACCATAGAAAAAAACAGCTCACAATATTTAGAGCTGATGTGTGGATGTGTGGCTCTATTTTGGGACCCCTTTTGTTTGCTATCTACACATCTCAACTTGCAAAATGTTCATGAATTTTGTAATATACATTTGTATGCAGCCGATACCCAGTTGTATTATAGCTTCTCACCTGAAATGATAGATAATGCGTGTACTCAAATCAATGATGAATTGAAATTATTTGTCAAGAATGCTTCTGATCACTGCTTAAATATAAATTGTAGTAAATCCAATGTTATTGTTTTCGGACCAAAAGGCCCTAGAAATGATATTTGCAAATCTGTGAAAGTAGTGGTAAATGATCATGTACTTGGGGTTGTCCCAGAAGCCAAAATCCTGGACATCATTTCAGATAAGGACTTGAAACTCGTTAAACATCGTTGGGAAAACCGCAAAGAACATTCTGTGTCCTCTTCTGTATACATCATATACAAGAGATTTAGAAAAATGTATTGAAACAGACAATCAGATAGTACGATATCCAGATGACATTTTCATATGCACACAAAATTTATCTTTTGAAAAGTCACTTGAAAATGTAATAATGAACACAAATGGTTAAATGATTCCGAAAAAATGGCGGAGGTTTACATATTCGCCAGAATGAGAATACAATCGTATACTATATATGATCAGCGGGTCCTACCAATTCGATCGACAGTCAAATACTTAGGTATCATCCTAGATGAATATCTGACATGGAAACACCATATAACAGAAATTCGTCAGAAATCAGAGAAAGGTATTGACATCCTTATAGCCTTTTGTGGAACAAAATGGTGTGCAGATACAAATTTCACCCTAACATTTATTGTAGCATTCATACCTTCAATATTGGATTATGGAAGTATATTTTATTGAAGTTTTTCAGATACTCACTTGAAGAAAATATTGAAAAATAATTGTTTGAAAATATGTCTGTGATATCTTCCGTCAACGCCAATATCAGTTATGGAAGTCGAAGAACCTATGTTACAGTTACTAATCAATGATACTTCCAAATAGATTTAAAATTGAATAGTCTAGCTAATTAGTTCTCTTAAAGCCAACAAAACAAATCACATACACACTTAAACCAACCAAGCCCATCCTTGCACTTGGCTACACCATACTGAACCTCAACCCAATTTATATAATTTCAAAATACAAAATTGGTAGGACTGAAGATGTTTGAATACTGATTCATACCATACCGTAAAATGGGTCGTCAAGTTGTGAATACCTTGTGGTAATTATTACACCAAATTCAGTATACACATGTTCATTCATATTTTATGAAAAAGTAACCAGATTCATGTTCAGAAAGGAATCCGATAAATTTACCTTTTCTTCCCTAGACATTCCGCTACCAGCAGCAGAACCAGAATCTCTTGGTTGCATCTCAAATATAGTTCTAAACATGACTTCCGACGTATTGGCCAAAAACCCTATCTCGGCGTTGGGGTGCAACCCGTATAGATACGGACTCTCGGGCGGTAACCTCTCATCTATGTATCGATGGTATCCCTGGTAATCAGTATTCGGCGGGGCTTGGAATCCTTGGGCGTATTGCAAGTCTCCTTCAACGAGTTCCGGCTGCATATAACTCATCAAGTAGCTGCGGCACAATCTTCTGTCCCAGTCATCGGTAATGTGCCCTCCATACATGATTTCACCAAAGAGATATCTCAGATCTTCCCAAGGTACCTCAAAGTACAAAATATTCGAATTAATTGTGATGGTAGAACGATGAACAAGTATTCATCGACCTTTTTTGGATGTTTATTACCTTCCACAAACTGAGAACTTTATACAGAAGTAGAAAAGGCAAACTTTCAGTTCATTCCCATAAGTTACTGTGTGAACTTAAAGCATTAACCGTGAAAAAAATGTTCTTTTCATCAGTAACTTGTCAAATCCAGCAATTTTTACTATGAAAAAAGAGCTTAGAAATTATACAAAAAACCCAAAAATGGTCCATAAACACCATTTCCTCTACCAAAAATGATGTTTGTTCAATATTTGATGAAAAAGTACTTCTGTCGATGAAACATTCCACTGAGTATCAGAAATGTGTAAAAATTACCTGAAAAATGTCTTGAAAGTTATTCTTTTCTATCAAAAAACCGAGAGGCAGAAAGCCTAAAACCTCTCTTCATCTAAAATTGATCTCTCCTGACGACGCTTCAACGAGGTCAGACTCGAAATGAGTTGAAAGAACCTCGCGAAAAGATCGTTGTGTAACTGACGCTAAGAAAGAATTTTACGAGTTCACCTTGGGAGAGCGATTGAGTGTAATGAAGATCATTCGTCATTATTGAAAATAACAAGTCTAAAGAAGAACTGTCCCTTTCACGTATTAGCATTCAAAGAAACAATTGCACAAGTAAGACTCCGTGATATTCCAAAGCTAATAGAACACAAGGACAAAAGTGAGATATTTACTAATATATGAATGTATCACAAGTAAAATTATGAATTGAAATATTCCCTGGTACACTGTATGTAAACGAATATCACAACTGATATCTGAATAGGTATTAATATTGTTTTTTATGGCAATAATTGATGTTGAGGTTAACGTGCGAATTATAAAATCTAGATGATTTTTTTTTCTTCCGTAGTCGTCTTGAACACTAGTTTCTAGCTCTATTGACAAGCTCAATGACAAGACTTTCTAGGGTTCTCCAATCGACATTGAGTGAAGTCATGTTTATTCCATTGAGCCTATGTTTATTCGGAGAGATGTATAGAAAGTTTTTCAGAAGCATCACTGTCGTGATCAAAGATTCACTATCTGAATAAACGCCAGATTATTGTAATAACTCTTTACAACACTTGTGTAGATAAATTACATTTGATGAATCACACGGTATGACAAAAGTGACATATATCGCTTTCCGAAATGATGACAAAACGTGATAAATGAGTGTCATTACTTCACACTTAAATACTTGTTGATTCCATCGGGGACTCGGCAGCTCCAGTCCAGCGGCAAAATTGAGAAACACTCAAACTTCCAAAAATTGGTCAGGTCTGACAAACAAATACCTAACGTTTGGCACTCGTTTGACTGTGTCACATATTTGCTAAATACACGATTCTCATTTTCTGTGACATATCTCTGCTGGAAAAATGTCGCCAGAGTGTCAAATGTATGTCATTTCCGCCATAATGTGTACCCTAACCTTTAGTGTTACATTATTTTTTGAAAGTTGAAGAAAATATAATGCTAAATATATTTTTCGACATTTTAGATAACGGACTGATAAATTGTTTTTTCATTAGATCAAATATTCTTCATACTCAGTGATTCACTTTGTCATATGAAACGTCCTTATTCAATATTTCAATTCCACCCTTTATGTTATGAATGAAACAGCAACATTTTATTGAGCGTTAGAAGTTCGCACTTCCATTGCTTCAATATGTTGATCGATCTAATATCAACTCACTTTGTGGTACTTATTGTTGGTATCCACAATCAAAATGTCACTATGGATTAACTGAGAAACATTGTAAAAATGAAACAAAAATATAGGGTCTTCCAACAGGGACTTCCGAACTTCACAATTGATAACAGGTATCTTTTTGAAGCTACATCTGTCAAATAAATTGTCATGAATTTAGTCTGATTTGTCAAATCACCATGAACAGATATAGAGCATTGAACAACACGTGCAACTTTTTTTTCATCGAAATGGGTATACTAATCGATCAACGTAGGCGCGCTTCGCCCATTTTAATGTCACTATAATCGTCTTACCGAGAAGACTATTCGCAATGTGGTGGATGAATTTGTGTCCACTGGTGCAGTAAACGATCGAGCAACACCTGTACGTCAACTTGGCCTTTCGTAGATACCAATTTGAAGAAAACTGCATTGTAACTTGGGCCTGCACCCATACAAAATTCAACTGACCCAGGAATTGAAGGTACATAACCATGGACAGTGACGTATGATCGCAGTTGGCAACTGACCGTAATTTTCATCAAAAAATCATCTTCAACGATAGGGCTCATTACTGAATGAATGCGTAAGTGAACAAACAAAATTGTCGGATTTGGATAGATACAGATCCACAAGAGCGTCTAATTCATTCCAAAAAAGTCATTGTTTGGTGTGGATTTTGATCTGGCGGCGTTATCTGTTCATATGAAAGACCCTTCACATTTTTGTTTTGATCTTCAAAGTGGGGCCTGTTATGTCAGATTTTTCACTAAGACATCCTGAATATAAAATTTTCCCTACATTTGGCAGGCCCTGTAAACTTCTATACTCTATATAATACACATACAAATAAATTGTACTTGTGATTAAATCATAATGTTCGTTTCAATATTTTTCAACTGTGAAATCATTAAATACTTTCAGATCTTCATTTTATTAATCGTTGTTTAGTCGGTCATAGCTCATACTATTTTTTTTCCATATCTACTATATGAAATTGAAAAATAGTTGTATGATTGAAAAGAAAAATGATGACCTTTTAAAAGAGGTTTCACTTGAGCCCTGATGTTATATAGTAGTTCAAGATTGAATTTGCCTCCTATCTAGAGAATGAAAATGACAACGACTATAGTTAGGAGATATTTTCGTTCAAACTGGAATTGAGGGATCTGAGCAATTATTTCCTAAATACAAAATTATGAGATATCAGTCTTGTTTCTTTGTCATTATTACACTCCATGTTAAATCCAGTTACTTATCATATAAGCTTATCCTTCTTAGACAGTTGGTGCTTAGTACCACAAATGAGAGGTTGTTGGGTCGTAACAGATTTTTCTGGGGTTAGATCACAATCACATCAACTTGCCTTGCAGAATCTCTTTCGGTGGTCAATGTGAAAGTTCAGCCTTGCAACTGACCACCTTGGGTAGGTTCGTTTAACTTTCATATTCGAAGCTTGAGTCTTCTGTCGATCCCATAAATGGCGTCATCCTATATGAGGGGAGATATAATCACCTTCAGTACTGCTACTTAGCTGTACAAAAAAAATTTCTGCCGTGTTGCCCTTGAAGTTTTCAGATTAGAAAAGGTATCATTCAAGTAAGGACTCCAATGATCATATCGGGTTCGAACTCGTTCAGTGTCATGAACTATACTGTTTCATGGTCATAGTCCAAGTAGAGAAGAAAATTCAACTTTCTGTTGATTCTACAGACCATATCCCTGATAGAAAATTTTCAAACTCAAAACTTCATTATCTCTATATCGTTGAGAAAAAAGTAATCACATAAAATTTGAAATTGAATTATGAGAAAGTTGAAAAAATCATTCATTTGATAAATTGATGGATATAGCTGTTACTAAGTAGTAGGAAATCATAAAAAATGAGAATTGAAACTTTCTATTTTTTTTATCACTTTTATTTGTAACAAACGTTACTCAGTTTCGTCCTACGAGGACATTTTCGAACTTATACATCAAAATAAAAATAATTGACTACATTAGCCCTTATAAAACACCACTGTAGGTAATAACAGAGGTACCTAATTGAGTACCTGAATTTTGGTTACCTGTGACGATGTGGATACGTCAATTCGAAAGCCGGTTACATTCGCAATGTTCATGCTCATGAATTTCCAAGGATTCCAAATAAGTGAGTTTGCATATTGCAAAATTTCCGTATTGTTTGAATTCGGGAACTTGTGTTTGCATCCCAAAGAATGGTTTGAAAACGTACAATCATTTCTACCTAGTCTGAAGGACCTTTCACGTTCACCATACCGTTTTGAGAAATTGCGACCACATTGTCCTACATAAACACTATTACACTCCGGACATTTGAGCTTATAAACTCCACATTTCTCTAACTTGTCCACTTCATCTTTGGCATTAAAATTTTTTTCGAAAGAAGTGATATGGTCTACTTTCTGAAATTTCAACAACACCTGGCATGTGGTCTGAATGCCATTTCCACATCGTTTTTTCTGAAGAAACTCGCAATTATCTCTGTTCTTTTATCAAAATATGTTACAGGTATCCATTTCTTGATTTCTGATTGTTCGATCTGGGGGTATATTATTCTGTGAGTAAATGTACGGCTTTTTTTTCTGACTAACTTCGGGATTGTGTCTGCGTTGTGTCTGTGTCTGCTGTAGACCATATCACTTCTTTTCCAATTTCAACAGCTTTCGATGTGTGCCTACATTAGAGTTACCTACAGTTCAACAACACATTTTATAAACCAGATACCAATGGGCAGGATTACCAATGGGCTCACCCTTTACTCCACTTTTAGCAGACATATGTGGAAATGGCATTCAACCACATGCCAGGTTATCTGATTTCCATTTTAATGCCAAAGGTGAAGTGGACAAGCTGGAGAAATCTGGAGTTTATAAGCTTATGTGTCCGGAGTGTAATAGTGTTATGTAGGACAATGTGGTCGAAATTTCTCAAAACGGTATGGTGAACATGCTGAATATGAATATGAAAGGTCCTTCAGACTAAGTAAAACTGATTGTTTGTTTTCAAACCATTCTCGAATTTGAACAATATGGATATTTCGCACTATGCAAGGAAGGGTTGCAAACTCAATTATTTGGAATCCTTGGATATTTATAAGCATGAATATTGCAAGTGCAACTGTTAAGTTAAGTACCTCTGTTATTACCTACAGTGGTATTATATAAGTGCTATTGTAACCAATCACTTTGAGTTCAATGTATGAGTTTGAAAATGTCTTCATAAAACAAAACTGCAGTAACGTTAGTTACAAATGAAAGTGGTAAAAAACATAGGAAAGTTTCAATTCTCATTTTTCATCATTCTTTTGATGTTTTTTACTGTTACTTTACCTTCTGATTATTTTCCAAGTAGTTGTAGAGTACACTAACACTGATTGTTAAGTCTCCAACATTGAAAGGGTAGTTTCTGTTCCACCCCTGCGGTCCAAATTTTCTTCTTTCAGCTACAACTGCATGAAAATAGCACAAGGCAAAAAGGATAGCTTTGAACTCCGCTTCTTTGCCGCTCATCTCTAGTGTTTCTTGATTGAAATTATCCAGAGCTTTATGCAAGTTAGCAAACATGCCCGTAGGAGGTTCATTTGTGATTTTTATAGATGATTCCAAAATTCCCTGCGGTATCACACATTCTTGTGGATCTGCAGATGGTTCTGCGCTCAAATATAACCTACAGAAAACGCACAGTATACAAATAACAGTATTTCAAGTTATTATATACGAGGTGACTCACCTGTAATTAGCATTGCCAGTATCAGCGCACTGTTCCATCTTCTTTTCTAAAGTTGCCAACCATTTTTGCACCAGATGGATATTCTGCAAGATCACCCACTGGCCTTCAGCGGCAGCTTGATCCATTGCATTTTCCGCTACAATTTCTTGGCCCTGTCCAAGAGATATACTATGGAAATTACCTTTATCGAACATAAATCCCAATTTCCTTCCCAATTTCTCTACATCTTTCAGAGGATTCACTCCTGGAGATAATATGAAAAATGTTGGTGTGGTAGAACTCGTCTCTTCATAGGATTTTTCGAATTCTACACTTCTTGCAGTTATGTATTTATTACCAAGCTTCTCGTCAATGAAACCGCTGACTGCATACGTCATTCTATCCGGCCGTAAACAACGCATGATACAAAGTCTTTGTAGAGTGGTTTTGTTTTTCCACTCTCCAGGAAACTTTTCTTTCTCTGGGCACTCACTGTCCACAAATTTTCTCCATCTCTTAGCAGACCCTTCCAAATCTTTGTCCAAGCTTTTGAATTCATCCATTTGTGACAAAGCTTTGATTCCACCCCAACACACGTTGTTCAAAAAATCAACTGGAGACGTTAAATTAGCAATAGAAGGAAATCTCAAGAGGAAATCCAGTTCTTCTGGGTTGATTTCATTCAGTTGGCCAAGAACTTGGAAAGTCATCTGGGCTGTAAATATCAATTTGTCTCTCTCGAACAAACCTCGGGAAGTGTACATAAAAACAGAAAAAGATATGCTATCCAATAAGTTCATCACTCGTTCTTTGAGTTTCTCTGCTGGCAATGCTTTAGATAAAGCATCTTTGAATACTACACTGAAAGCCTTCAGAGAGAATTGGTATATGGCATTTATTCTATTCAAATCATTCAGAATGAAATATAAAAGGGATGCTCTTGCGGCGCATGGACGGTATTGTTCTCTTGCCTCATCGATTTTCACCGAAGTAACCTTAGCTTCCTCTACTTTGACAGCTATTTCATTTGCAGTCTTCTTAGTTGTTTCCAAATTCAATACCAACTCAACATCTTCCAGTATGTTTCCTGTTGCTGACGATAATTTATATAGCAGGTTAGCCTCACATGTCTTGAGGGTGATTTTGAAATCGTTCTGTTGTTTCGTTAAAGAAGATTTCAGAGTTTCCAAATCAGGTCTTTCAGCTTTGACAACATCTGCCAGAAGTTGTTCTTCCAAACCGTCACGAGTAACAGTGAAGTTTATCAAAGTAGTTTGTGCCTGTATCTCTGGTTTGTAGTGAGGATTCGCCAATTTCGTGTGAAGAATCAATCTGAATGCAGGATTATAATCAACATCTTTATCCCCTATTTTTATAGCTCTTCCCTTTTTTATGAGCACCCTTCCAAGTACTGGATCTAAAACTGCGTCCAAAACCTCACCAATATTTTCCAATAATACCACCAGCCCTTCTGAAATACACCTTTCAATAGTATCCAGATAGGTTCGCTGCGTTAATCGTACAACGTTCAAGGAATCACCATAACGAGTTTTGATCCATTTGATTCCTTGAAGTTGCGGATCAATCATTAGAGGCCATCGAGAAGAATTACTCAAAATGCAAGCATTTTCTGTAGACATGCGATCATTGGGCAGTCCTTCATTATTCCATTCAGCAATCTTTGCATCATCAGTGAGTAAAGATAGGGGATCCAAGCCTTCCGTCATAGGAATGGGTACTGCTAATGTGGTGAGAAATGGTTTCCAATATTTATGTAACAAATCTATACGATACCTTCTCGTGAAGCACCCTACATAAGAAATAAATGCTGTCACCAACAATATATCACCAGGTAAAGTAACAATTGACGCTTTATATTCTTTCACTAACTCTCTCCATCTCACGTTTTCTGAAGCCAAACCGTTAACCAGTCGATTCGCTATATCTATTTTTTGAGCAGTTTCATCTGCCTGTGCTTGGCACCTCAGTTTTTCATTTATAGCTTCGTCATACTCGCTCTTCAGAATAGATAATTGCTTCTCCAGTGCTTTCAACTTCTCATTCAGCTCTGCAAGTCTACCGCGAGCTTCTGCTAAGTCTCTGTTAGCTGCTGCTAAGGCTTTTCTTTTGGGCTCTACTACAACAAAAACTTCGTTATATTTCAAAATATTTATCACCCAAGCGCATAGTCCAGCAGCTGCGAATGATTTGCTGATCACTTTTTCTGGAGTGAAATCTGGTAATTTTGTATATTCTTGAGTTGCTTTCACTACTTCAGGTAAGATATTATCTTTGTCATAGTTGATAAGGTCATTGAGAAACTGATCAACCCTTGACATCATTTGTTTAGACTCCTTCCAACCCCTATCTTTAGGAATTTTTCCCTTTTTGGAAAACAGAACTAACACTGCAGCACAAACTGATACTACTGCATCTGGAGGTGTGGCGAAAGATTTCAACTCTGTTAAATTATTTTTGTTTAAAGTATTCAAGGCAGCCTGTGCTGCTATCAATGCAGGTTCTGCTTTCATTAAATCGTCCTGACAGACCTTTGCTTTCAAAGTTACATCTTCTTCAATAACTTTCACTTTCGCCTCCTCCTCGCTAGCTATTTCTTGTTCTTTGCCAACTTTCTCATTTTCTGCTGATAAAACTGCAATAAGTTCACTTGCGGCTTTATTTTTTTCTCCTAAGACTATCTCTTGTTCAGCTAAAACCTCCTTCAATCCGTCGACGTCCTCAGAGGTAGATGCAAGCTTGGTTATTCCATTTGCAAGTCGTTCGATATTGTCCTTGATATGGGCAGTTTTTTCCCCCAGTAACTTTGAATATAGGTCGATTTGTTCCAAAAAGGACTTGGGAGTCGTGTAGTTGTATCGTTTTTCATTCGTTAAGTAAACTTGTGACATTTCATTCACTACAGTGTGAACATATGACATGAACAAAGATACCGATTGCATGAGTTCCTGGGGAAGCACGTCTATTTCAGCCAGAAATCTTTTAGATACGGACTCTAACGCCTCTTTTGGCCATTCGTGGAACCAATCTATTGAGGTACAATTTACCAAAGCTGGAAACTTTCTTGCACGAACTCTTAATGTCGATCCAACAGGAGAGAAACAAAGAACGACTTTCAGTAACCTTCTTACCCGATCAATGAAAAAATGCCAACAGTTTTCTCTGGTATCTTGTAATCCTACACCCTTAACTTCACCTCGCATTGCACTTATCACGTTTTCTACATCTTCGTCTGGCAAAAGATCACTTATTTCTCCAGAAGCAAGCATGTCGTTTATGAGAACCAGAAACTTTTCCTCTGGTACTTGAGCATCGGTCATCAGAAATACGATACCAACGCTTTTGAGTCCAGCTTTAAGATATAAGGCGGCTATATCCGTTTTCATGTCATTCATAGAATATCCCTTTTTCAGCTGTATCTGAAAAACTTCAAATGAAGAGATGAATGCAGCCAATCTGGTTAGTGATTGTTTTCCAGATCCTCCCACACCTACAAGTAGGGCATTGCCTCTAGGAGATTCCATTATCCGATTAATGCGACATATGTGGTACATTGCATCTTCAAATAGTACCAAATTCATAGCAGCTATCAAGTCGTTGTAACCACTCAATGCCTCATTCAGTAGTTTGCTCAAGTGGGAAAAATCTAGTATTGGAAAATATTTTGGGTCTCCTATTCCTTCAGCAAAATGACAATATATTAACGGTTTTTCAAAAACTGCATTCTCGTCCAACTCCTCAAAACTTTTCTTTACGACATCGATAACCAACTTGTTATATGTGTCTATATCTCTACGTTCCACAAGTTTGTCTTTGTAAACTCTACTAGCTTCGTGCATCCATAACCTGATAAAATCAGTCTGGGTGTGGATGGCATTCCCAGTTGCAAAAAGCATGCCTTGAAATATATTTGACATATCTCTCAAAGTAAATGTATAGTGGAATTTGACAGCTGTCGGCAAAAACGTGGTTCCTACTTTCTGATGCAGTGTGAGTGCTGCTTGAACAACTGTCGGACATAATTTTGTTAAGGCAATATTGAATTTTTTCGTGTGGTCTTGCATATGTTGCAGATAGATGGAATTGTAAATATGATAGGAGGCATCTTGCGATGGAAAACTGACAGCAAATACGCAGAAATGTCGCTGAAGTCTTGGATTTATAGTAAAAGAACCCGCTGTGGGATTCATGGATGATATGAACTGAACATTGTGGATGTCTTTCAGAGTAAGTTTCTGCCTATCATACCAGTGCTGATAATCCATGAATTGTCTGATGAGGGTATGGGGCTGGACAGTAAAATATTTGTCCACCTCTGGCATATTCATATCGTCGATAAAGTATATCATGGTTTTGTTACCTGGTGGACCATATACCCTACCAGCCTTTTTTTCTAGAGGCTTTTCCAAAATCTGTTGTAACATCTCAGATGTTGTATAAAAATTGAATGGTACGTTAGTAACAGCAAAGTTTTCAGACAAAGAATGCAGTTTTTCAGCTACTATCACAGTTTTTCCACTACCCGCAGGCCCAACTAACATAACTGGGGCTTTTTTCGACATTAAGTTATCAATAAAGAATCGAATTCTTGTAGTTTCAGCGGTACTGACCAAAGTTGCTTGTAACGGAATGTCGCTATCCAACTCAAATTCAGGAACCAAGTCAGTCCATGGAAGAAATCTCTTTGTCTCTTCTTCAATATAGTAGCTGAAAACGTTGCCACCGAAAGGAAATTTCACAGTTTTGAATTCGTTAACGAACCACTTGCTAAATTCGTTTCTCCAATCTATTATTTGATCTTGGAATAAAGAGGATCCAAATGCCCATACCACAGAAAACACGAAATATATTTCATACCACTCTTTGGGGCAATCTGAAGGAACATTTTGGGGAGTCAAGAAGCAGTCCAGAAGTAAGCATAACATCTGTAAATGTGCAATATCGGAAATGGGCGTGATCTTCTTGAACTTGTGCCGTACAGCATCCAAACACGGAGGAATATATTTATCAAACAATATCATAAGATTAGCTTTCTCGCTTTGTATTGTTCTCGTATCTATCCAGGATGCTATGAAAGGATTCCAGCCCAAATCTGCAGGATTGATATACAAAATCCCGGCCCTAGATACCGTTGCAGGAGTGGCTGTTCTCAAGTTCGCAATCTCAAACAGAAGCCTCATTGAACGTGTCAAAGCGATTCTTTCATTACTAGCGAGTGTCAAAACTTTGTTATCATCCATAAGTGTATTCAAGGATTCTATCCACATTGGGTCAATATCTCCGTCTATAATAAATTTCAAAAAGTGAATATCATTGAATTAATATTGATCTTAATGATTTTTTGTGTATTTTGTTTCTTTATTCATGTCAAGTATGAATATATTTCGTTCAACTTCCATTATCTTTCTGTAGTTGAAAGAAATAAAAAATTCCCGAAAATGTTTTCAAAAATATTCATAAGAAAGTTAGTCGACTTTGTTTCGTTAATAATGAGATTGGTATTGACTTTTTTATAATCAGTGCATCAAAGAACCATTTAATGTTTATTATTGTTGACAACAAACCAGAAAACAATTGCAACGATATTTACTGAAGTTGAGATTCGACTAATCTTTCTGATTATCATCACTTATTGTAGAATATGAGTTCAAATTGCGGAAAAATAAGAAGGTAATATAAAGGCAGCAAATTAATATGATTCACAGTCAGAACCTTGTATATTCATGATAAAAAAACAACTCTTGCGATAACGAAATATATGCACGACTTATAAAAATAAATCTTTTGGCAATTATTTTGTGGAGGTGAATAAACTCAATTTGTCTCCATCTCCATTCATCCAGTTACACCAAATACAGAAGGAAGGCTGCTGGATGAACGAGCAACATCAGCGAGACTAGCCTCCGTGAGGAATCTTCCATAAATTTCTGACGGATATAATTTAATATTCAGCGTGTATTAGCCAAGGAAGTAGTTGTTTTCTCACATACGTTTACCAGATCCTACTATGTACGTAGATGGGAAAGATTATTATTTGAACATATATATTTCCTTATCAATTTTTTCTTATACGTATGTATCTCTTCTCGATAGCTTTCACTTTTGATTAGAGATTTGGTATATGGAATATTTCTCCCCGCTTGGGGCTTTGTTCACGAGATGAAGTTGTTACTAGTTATCAATTTTGCTCTTAGGCGAAGGTTTCATATATGTAGCAGGGCCGTGTTGAAATTGATCGAGTCGCAGACACATTGTTGTTTGGGTAGGATCTTTCCTATACTGATGAGAGGTAATATACCTGCGGTCTGCAGGTGATCTACTTGAATAATTTTAGCATGGTCCTACTGCTGGATGAATGAGAAATATCTACGAGACTAGCCTCTTCGAGAAATTTTGCATAAATATGTGTCGGATATAATTCAATAGTATTAGCCGGGAAAGTAGTTGTTTTTCAACATACGTTTACTAGGCCCTACTGTGTAAGTAGGAGAAAGAGATTAATGTTGCGAAAGTTATTTCGAAATATTAATTTCGTTATCAGTTGGGAAAAATAAATGTCAATATGTTGCGAAATGGATTTGCTTTAGAAAAGAACTGTGGCCATTACTCGTGAGAATGAAGTTTCTCTACAAGAGCTGAAGGGAAGCCTCGAATTATCACGCATGAGATAAACGAACATCTAATTTCATAACAGGTAGCAACACTAAAAAAGATTCGGAAATATTTCTTCGTTTGGTGTTATGTTCAATTTCAAATAGATTTAAATTTGGGTGAAAAACTAAACAGTTTTACAGAAACGCAACACGTATTCCGCTGAACAATAGCTTCTTCAGGCTTGTATTTACCCAAGACCGCCGGCACTCAAGTCCAACGTTTTAATAACTACTCTAAAGGGAAACTTTCAAACTGGTGTATAATAAAGCTTTTAAAGTTTTTCATTTTCACCATTATGCCTTTGAGTGATGCATTGTTAAAACAAATTTTCTGCTGAAATAAACTGGTTTTTACTTTCTGAATACACGTTTTTACTCCTGTTTATTCTTATATATTTCAGAACAAAACTTCAATTCAATGAATAAGTGTCACTGTTTTCCGGGTTTGAAGGCCGTGGATTTTTGGAATTTCTTCTTGACGTAGGTAGCGCCAGCGCGTGTGACTAAATACCATAGCCTACTGGTATGAAAGGCAATGGAAATCCACAAACACACGGATAATTTCAACAGAAAAAAAACTGTGAACTCCAAGAATAGCAAACAGCATGACGGTATGTAGAAAAGGGTCAACTAACGTTTTGACAATTTTCCAAATCCAGGTATATGTATTATCACACCAGATTCCCTGAATCAACATAAACACGCTTAACGTAATTTACCAGAACAAGTATTAGCACACCAAACTACCTGTAGAGTCAACATAAATACGCGTTACGTAGCCATAATATCCAGTCATCGGATATATTAACTCATGATGTATAGACCTCTGAGGAAGGTAGCTAGCGAAACGTCAGGAAAAAATACACGGCTTTCGAACCCAAATAATAGCAAAACTGAAAACTTTGGCCACGAAAGCTTCAACCACTTTGTCAATGAATATGTTTACCGTTAGCGAACATATTTTAAAATTGGCTCATTTTCTATTGAGAATAATTGAAACGACTGTAAAAATATGAATTTTTTTATCTGAATTGGCCTATAGGTAGTGGAAATTATGAATCTAGTCAAATGTGATTAGTTCGAAGATGTGAGTTATGTGTCACTTTCGCTACTTACACAAAAATAAACGGCCACATTGATGTTTCTTTTTCTCAATAGTAACAATAAATGAATACATTGATTTTTTTTATTTCATCTTTGAATTTACAGGACGACATTCATCTTCGACAGTTTTTTTTTCAAAATTTGTTCACTTTTATAGAGTATTCAGTTTTGAGGTTAATATAGATGAATGTTTTAGTTTTATAATTTTCACATCCACCTCTCTCGCTATGCCTGCAGATCATAACATAAAATCTACGAAGGCAGGCTCGGTGATGAAATATACACTGATAAAAAGATAAAGATGAAAATGAACAGCTTAAGGACATCGGAAACGCTAAGTGATACGGGGTCGATTGAATTGGAGAAAAGTAGCGCATTGATGTGCCTAATAATATGCCATATGGAAAGTTCCAATATTCCGAGTAGTTTCGGAAATATCCGAGAAAAACCGAAATTAACTTTCTCCTAGCTTGATTTTCAAAGGAATAGTAAAACAAATGGCACTTTGTCAAGGTCACTTTCTAAGGACTACACGATAATGTGAGCATCAACTTTGTATTTTTATATGGGCCGAAACTAAAGTATACCCCGTATACGACTTCATTTTTCATTGTGATGACAGCAACGTATCACACGTTGCTGTCATCACGTGTGATGTACTATGATGTTAAAAAATCTGAGATAACCTCTCACTTCCAGATATAAATGGAAAAATGGAATATACATTACAGTTTTTTTTATGTGTTCCATTTCAATAGGACTACCAGAGCTGTTTCCAAGCTTCCGATGCAAATCTGATTGGACTATAAAATAGGATGATGTATTCCTTGAACTACATCTGTTTAAAATCTGTTTAAAATCTGTTTTTCCGTTAATCAGCTGTCGCCCCCATACGAACGTCAACTCTCAGAAGTTGAGAAATTTGTGCGAGCTAAGGACTAACGAGGTCTTACCTTTTAACGTGTGATTCCTAACACGTTCAAAGACAAACCTGTATTTTCTATCAGATCTTGTCAAAATTCCAGCGATATGTTCAATGATGACAGTAAATGCCTGTCAAAATTTTCATATAGTAAATAAAGTGGAAATACGTAACCTTTAACCTCTTTTGAGTGGGTTACAATTTCATTCAAATCATTTTCAGTATTCAATTTCCATTTTGATTGTGAGTTACCGGTCATGATTCATAACCTGCTGTGGACATGCTTCAAGAAGAAATAAAATAGATCGACGTCATGTTATTAAAATATTTCAACCTGACTCAAACCTGAAATATGCATTGCTCTCATTGTAATTCAATAATTTGTTATTCATTACATTTAATAAAGACATGTGATCTGTCTTAATGATAAATTAAGATCCTTGTAAATAAAATCTCAATTTGGTTATACAAAAGATTATGCTCGCAAATTCTAGTTCTGTTTTGCTGTAATGTTGCTCATATGTTTTGGTCACTCTCGACACACCTCTTTTCCTTCTTGTTCTTGCAATAAAACCCCAGCAAGTTTGAATATAGATGCATCAGTTCTTAATATAAATGGCAGATTGTAATAAGGATGGTAAATTTTTAGATTATTTGCAAACTCCACTTTTATATTATTAAATGCATTTTCTTGTTCTCGTCCCCATTTCCATTCATTGCTCTTTTTCAATAATTCAACTAGACTTAATGTTTTGTTACTTATGTCTGTCATTAATTTCTTGAAATAATTCAATATTTCCAAAAATCCCCTTGATGTTTTTAAATGTACAGGTCTTTTTTATTTCATTATAGCTCTAACTCTTTTTCCATCCATGCTTATTCCTTTCTTGTGCGATTTATATCCTAGGAAAGTCACTTCTGTTTGATAAAATTTTGATTTTTTAATATTGATTTTTAGTTTTGCGTTATCCAATTAATTAATTAATAATTTTATGTGTTTCAGGTGACTTTCCCAGTCTGTGGAATATATCAAGATGTCATCAATATAGTGAAGAATGAAATCGTTATATTTGTCTAGGATGGTATGGATTGTCCTAACCAATGCTGAACAAGAACTCTGCAAATCGTATGGAACTACCCTGAATCTATACAAGACCCCATCAATTGAAAATGATGTATAGTCCCTGCTATCTTTGTGAATTGTAATTAACCAAAAACTATGTTTCAAGTCTATTTTCGAAAATATTTTTGCATTTGTTATGCTTCCAAAAATTGCATCAATTATTAAAGGTGTCTCGTATTGAGGTGTGGTGTATTCATTATTATTTCCAGAATCCAAACATAATCTTAGTTCACCATTATTCTTTTCAACTACCACAATAGGATTAATGTATTTTGAATTGCATCGTTCAATTATTTTCTGTTATTTCTTGTTGTACCTTATTTCTGTATTTATAAGGAATAGGGTATGCTTTAGATTTGGAATTTTGTATTCCTTCAACCTCTATTTTATGAACATATTTATCTGATACCATATTTTCATTGTTAATTAAATTTGGCTGTTCATTTAATAATTTTTAATTTAATAATGTCAATACTTTGTATTTCATTGATTCCACACATTCAATATCTAATATAGGTTGTTCCTCAATTACTCCATTACAACAGTGTCTGGCATTGAGTGTCGAACTATAAGGACTATCAGTCAACGGCATTCAACTCATTCAATATCAATATATGTATTAATAGTATTTTAGTGTGAATAAATCTGTTAAACTCAGTGTTCAATATATACAGTCCATCTATACCACTCATACAACACAGACAATCATGGTCCATCGAGCGGATATTCAAGAAATCCAACTACAAGAATAGCAAATCCACACATTGGAAGTCATTACGGCCAATATTGTGTACTTCCAGCCCTACCTGCCTTGAAGCCGTGCAATTGTTCATCCTTATAGAGACCCGTAAACGCATCTTCTAGGAAGGACAAATTGGGAATTACCAGGATTATCACGCCGCGCCGTACTACTAACAGAGAGTGAGTTTGTTTCATTTTAACCATATTTCACATATAACTAGTATCCATAAAATTGCCTCTATTTTTTTTAATTTACAAAGTCCAAAATGATTGAATTAGCCACGTTAATAAGAAAGCAAGAGATGACAAAAGGCTTGTTGAATTCATTCAAGAATCATCTTGACAATATATTAATCAAACAAGAGATAACAATTTTCGAATTTTCTATTCTTAAAGACAGGTTAGGTAATATTCTAAACCTATTTAAGGAATTCCGCAATTTGCAAAACGATATAGAAATGGCTTGTACATTAGATACTTCAACTCAACAAACTGCGGAAGGAGATGCTTTTGGGGAGAAATATTAAGAATTAACCAACAAGGCTAAGATATTTTTGACAAAACATGATTCTAGTTCACAAATAATTGCCCAGTCTTCCGTTAAATACGAATCGAACGGTATAAAGTTGCCTGAAATTGTTTTACCTAAATTCAACGGTAATTCTGAAGATTAGCTAGAATTCAGAGATATATTTGATAGCTTGATTCACAAAAACGAATCTCTAACAAACAAACATGGACAAACATGTGTTATTTACTTGATTTATAATATAAGTATTCATTTCTGATTCATTTTCATCGATATTTATNTATGATGGGAAGTTCCCCTATTTGGATTATATTTCCCACCTAATAATTCGTCTTTAACCCTGCAGTGGTGACCTGCGGTCTCTCAGGCCACCCAATAATGCTTTTTTTAATTTTGGCGACATCGCGCGATGTTACCCCTCCTGCTTCCTTCTAGCTTAACCTTTTTCGGGTCTCTTCACGCACTGTAAGCCAGAAAGCGTTAGCGGTAGTAAGAAGCCAGTTGTAATTGTTTTCGGACTGTCAGACCGACGTCACCTGTGAAGTAACAAATCTGCTGTACATATATTTTTCAATTTAATTCATTTTGTGTGAAGTAGAGCGTATCCAATCAAAGGTATATGTTCGTATATGAATAAAATAATGTTTCTAACAAAAATTATCTATATAGGAATATGAGTTTTGAAGCAGAACAACGAAGACTTCTTCATCTCATGGAAACATGTATGACCGATGAAGAGGATCTTGCTTATGACGACGATGAGGAGATTGATGTTGAAATTAGCGAGGAACGCTTTGAACAACGGGGAGAAAGCACAGATACGGAACAGGAGTTGGATTTCACCGATGCTGAGTTTGAATCAGAATCAGATGCAGGACGCTTAGTTTTTACTGGAAAGGATGGAACTATCTGGAGAAAACATTGTGGGCGGAAACTGGTGAGACGAGCAAAAAAAAAATATTGTGACTCAGTTGCCTGGTCCTATTGGACCAGTGCGTGAAATCAAAAATGCCTCAGAAATTTTCGAACATTTCTTTGATCAGAGAGTATTAGACATAATAGTCGAAGTCGAAAACACAAATGAATATTTAGCCAGTGTTGCAACTAATTATGCTCGAGCGACATATACTCGGCCAACAACGGTTGTGGAGATTCAAGCTTTATTGGCCATTTTATTATTGAGTGGTGTCAAAAAATGTAATCACTTGAACGCTGAAGACTTATTCAAGACCAATAGCACAGTTCCTGAAATATTTAGATTAACCATGTCTTACCAGAGGTTTCGAACTCTTTTGAGATATCTGAGGTTTGACGATATACATACTCGTGAGGAAAGGAAACTTGCGGATAAATTGGCTCCTATCAGGAAGCTATTTCAAATCATTGTGGACAATTTCAAAAAGAGTTTCAGTTTATCTCATAGCGTGACAATTGATGAAAAACTAGAGGGTTTCAGAGGCCGTTGTCAATTTCGACAGTACATCTCGAGCAAGTCTAACAAATATGGCATCAAAATATATGCGCTGTGCGATGCGAAAATGTTTTACACATTAAACTTGGAAGTGTACGTTGGAACTCAACCAAAGGTACCATTTTCAGCTAATAACAGTGACCTTGCAATTGTAGATAGATTGTGTGAGCCTATCCGAGGCAAAGGTAGGAATTTGACAACGGACAACTTCTTCACCAGCCTCAAACTTTCTGAACTTCTTCTTCAGTAGAAGATCACCACTGTAGGTACTATTCGTTAAAAACAAGCGTACCGTGAGAGTTTGTCGACGGAAAGAATCGACCGATTGGTACTAGCATGTTTGGTTACAGAGATAACTGCACCCCAGTATCACATATTCCAAGAAAAAATAAAAATGTTCTTCTCATCTCCACCATGCATGACGATGATTCAATTAATGAAATGGTTGTTTTCTATAGCTTGTTGAATGTGTCTGCTATCAATACGGAAGTGATTTTTCACGCAAATAATCCTGACGACAAAACGTTGCGTCGGCACTTCCTTAAAAATTTGTCTTTTGCCCTGATAAGCAACCATCTGAAATCACGAGCTTATTCAGAATACATACCACGTTCAATGCGCAGTAGAATTCTTGAAATTTGTAATCTTGATTCTGAACCTTCAGGTTTAGAAAGGAGAGATACAGGTCGATGTG